GGAATTTTTCAGGTTATTTTTTCATTGGGATTTTTACCTTTTAACTTGATTTTTCATTCGGGGCATGAACACTAGATAAAAAAATCAGAAGATGGGGAACATTTATGAGGGCTTGACTTTCCACAAAATTGTGAAGGGATTTCCATTCAACTTCCCTTCCCTTTTTAACTTCATTTTTCGAGATAAAGCTTAAGATGGTTGATATACGCTTGACTTAAGCCTAAAATCATGTCCCTTAATTTCCTTTTTAATTATTTTTTTAAATTAGAATAACTTTTAGAACAACACTTTAAATCTAACTCCAAAACGTCAAAAAATTTCTATAGAATTAAAAAAGCAAATAATTGATTACTACTTGGCAAATCCAAAAACTTCTTTAAAACAAATAGCAGAAGAATTTAGTAATTTTAATATTTTACTTAAAAAATCAAGTATTCACTCAATTCTTAAAAACAAACAAAATATCATTGCTGCAATAAATAATGGAATAAAAATTAAACGTTCACATTTAACAAAAGGAAGGCATGCAAATTTTGATGATGCTCTTTTAAATTGGATTAGACAAGTTAGGGCTGAAAATGTTGTTATTACGGGAACTTTATTGAAGGTTTTTTTTTTTGAGATTTTTTGAAATTTTTCTTTAAGGAAAAAGCAATGGAAATGGCTAATTTAATGGGAATTGACAATTTTAAGGCAAGCAATGGATGGATGGAAAAATTTAAAGAAAGGCATTCAATAAGGTTTATATTTAATTTAGTTTAATCTGATGGGCTGAAATTTCTTAGTTAGTCCTCTTTTGCCAAGGCTAGCCACAATTCTGGTTATGAATTCTAAAAATAATAGCTTTCCTAATTTTTTTCTGATTGTGGACGGAATTTCCCCTAACTGCACCTTTATTTTAAAATTTATTTTAAATCCTAGATACTTGTAGTTTCGAACACTTAAGCTCGATTAATATTTTTCTTAGACTTACAACAATTTTTTAAATTAAAAAAAATAAAAATTTTTCAGATTCAGAACAGAAAAAAGCGAACCAGAAGAGCCTATTATTGACATTATACAAAATGTAACAAATTGGGAAGTTTTTCAAAATGCTCTAAATTTGGATATTTGTGAAAGCCCTGTAGAAGAAATTGAAGATTTTGAAATTGTTATGCCAATATCGACAGATTTAGCTCGTCAATCATACCTTTGTTTACGTAAATATTGGCAAGAAAATGGTTTAGATGAAAGTCTTTATTCATCTTTTGACAAAATTGAAGACATTTTGTTTAAAGAAGAATTGGATGATAATAATTTAATTGAAGAATAACAAAATTCTTTTTTAGACGTGTATATTTTGTATATTTAAATTTTTTAATTTTTAATATATAAATCTTAATTAGATAGATATAATGTTTATTAAAAGCCTAAAATATTGTTTTGGCTATTTTTTATATTTTTTTAAAAAGTGAATATAGATAGCTAGAGAGGTCGTTCCAGTAAAGGGGGCACGCCCAAAACGGCGCGGGCCATAAAGGCGATAAGCCATAACGTTCTTCACGATTTCCTAATCTTACCAAATTTAGTATTTAACGATTCCTCTCGTCGAGCTAAAGATATTGGTACCAAAAATGATAAGGGCCAGGAATTTGCTGGCAAGTTATGCCTTTGCGCCTTTTAGGCCCCCCAGTAAATACTCTGAATCGGTTACTCTGAAACGTCCTTGAATTGAGAGGTCAGTTGAGGGCAGTCTCTAAATTGTTCAGTTGAGTATTAGTAAAAGAAGTCGATTAAGTATTGTTGATTCAGAATAGTCGATTCAGTTTCCTTCATCTTTAATTTGCTTATAAGTTTTTAATATTAAATGCTAGTTTAGATGTGTTCGTGGACGTTTTTTCGGCTTAGCATTATTTTTATTTTATGGTTTGCGTCCATAATCTCTCTATATACAATTAGCATACTCATCAAATCAAATGATGAGGTTATAAATGTTAGGATGTGCTCTGTTTCTTACCCAAATTCTTTGCATCCTTTTGTATAAAAAGCGATCAATATTTTTTTTTAATTTAGGGGTGCATCCTTAACTAATTTCTGATTTCCATCTTATAAGGTATTTTAAATTTCAGCAACTTTTCATTAACGCTACTTTGTGTGTAGCAAAAATGGCTGATGATGTTTGTTTTATTTTTTAAATATTTTAAACTTTTGTGTTTTAGACTATGTTTCAAAGTCTTTTGAATTCCGTTGCCCAGCTCAATAAGGCTTATGTGAGCGAATATATATCTGGTACTCAATTAAACTATTTGGCGGTCGTGATTGCATTATTTGGACTTTGCGTGTTATTTCTTTACTATATTTTTACTTCTGAAAATGAGAAGACAAAGAATGAGACAAAGAATGAAACAAAGAATGTTGTGACATCGGAAGGCCAAAAGATTAAAGATGAGATGCTTTCAGAAATTCGAAATCTTTTCCAGAATTATTCTCGCACAAATGGACAACAAGAACAGGTTAACTTAATCTATTAGAGTTGTTGTAAACCTTAGCTGAATTATCCTTAATAAGGGCAAGGCATCAAATTTTTATTAAACTGGGCAGATAAATAGTGTTGAGAAAGGGGAAGTGTAGGGAAATATTTCGTCTTCATAGTTAAATGCTTTTTTCGTTTTTATGGGGAGTTGTCTACAATTCTTTACTAGACTGACCATTTTTAACACTTTGAGACAGAAAAAAGAGAGGGGGGTACGAAATTCAAAATTATCTAGTAAAGTATAATAACGTTCTTGTTGTTAAATGCCGCTTTAATAATTAAATTTTAATTTAGTCATTGGTTAGTAAGCAGTCTCCATTGGATATTACACCATTAATAACTGCCTTTGACCAAAAGATTGCAAATAAGTATTTCAGCTTTGATTATGACAACTTTAATTATTCTGCTAAAAATTTGAATGGGCTCAGCATAATTCCTGCCGATACATCCAATTTTCCATATTTTGAATGTGGTGTTTTCCCTGACAAACATTTTCAACTTGAGAAAATATTATTTCATTGGGGATCACGTCAAAATAATGGAAGCCACGTAAATCTAATTTTTTAATCATTAGTATTTTGTTTGAGAAATTCTTATAAAATTTTTTTAATATAAATTTATTTTACAAATTAGCATTTTATCGACAACGAAGGATTTGCTGGTGAAATTCAATTCATTCATCGCAACACAACTTTTTCTTCAATGATGCAGGCACTGAAGTATCCAGGCGATCCAGGCGCATTGTTCATTTCAGTTTTATTGCAGGTTTGTTTAAAAAAATTATTTTTAAGTTTAAAAATAGAAATTTTTATTTCAAGTTTTGCTTTACTTTTTTTTAAAGAATTCATATTTTTAGCAAGGAACAGAAGACAATCCAGCACTTGAACCATTGATGGACGTACTCACTCAAGTAGAATATCCTGGCACTGAATCTTCGCGTTTAAAGAATTTCAAACCTTCTCAACTTATTCCGGCTGACAGGAACGAATTTTGGTTATATGATGGGTCTGAAACTACTGAGCCGTTCCGTGAAACGGTTTAATTAGAATAAATAATTTTATTAATTTTTAATATTTTTGTTTTAAAGGTCAAATGGATTTTATTGCATGCTAAATTATCTATATCTCTCAGCCAATTACAAAAGCTTCGGGAATTACGTAAAACTCGCAAAGATCATGAACTGCAGCGTTTACTTCTTTCTAATCGAGACATTCAGCCTGTAAATGGAAGGATTGTCAAGTCGTCTTTTTTGTGGAAGGGGTTGTAAGGTTAATTTTTGAAGAAGGAAGCTTTGACTTTTAAAAAATGATGAAGTGACGAGCTCGTTTTATTTATAAATCTCATCATAGACCCTCTCTTTAGTTTGTTGAGTTTAAATATTTTATTTAAAGACCTATACGTTTTTGACTTATTAAAAAAATTTTTGTTAAAAACACAACAAGAGCGTCCTATTTTGGTTTAATTGGAAAGTTTTCTTTTAAGTGAGGTGAGGGTGGTTCTACTTCCATTGGTGGACTTTTTTTTATTTTGTCCTTAAAAATTCCAAAAAATTATCTAAACAATTTTTTTAAGAGTTTTTTTTCTGGTTTACTAAATTTGTCGTGCTCTGTTGTGTTTTTTTTTTAATTATTTGCAAGTATTTATTCGTTAAAAATAAATTTTAGATTTTTTTCAATTTGTTTATTGAAGGGTTTGAGATTAAATTCTTTGTATAGTATTTTTCTTTTTACTATTTTTTACAATTTTTTAGGACAATGAATAAGAAAAAAGATTTAGGATTTGAGTTGTTAAGTTGATATTTTGGACTAAGTTTATTTTATCCTTTGGCCAGACTTATTTTTAGGTAGTGGCAGCAAAGATTGAACGATTCATTTAGATCATTGATTTTTTTGCTAGAAGAGATTTTGACTAAAATTTTCTCTTTTTTCCTCTTCAGTTTTTCCCTTTAATTAAATTAAATTATTTCTATAAATTTTTATTTCTTTGAAAATTTTATTTTTCTAATTAGAGAATGGCATTCTTGTTTCCTTCAATATTTAACAAATTTTTCTTAATTTTATTTTTTATAATTCCAATACAAGGTAGTCCTGAAGATCCTTCGCTGACTTTTGAGCACTTCTATCAATCTGGCAAAAATGAATATACAAATGGAAATTGGGCCGATTGTGTGGCTTATATGCTTAAAGCTATTGAAGATTTTCTTTTCTACCGACAAGAGGTTTTTTAAAAAATTAAAAGGTTTTTACAATAGTTAATTAATTTATAGGTCCTCTGGTGTAGAAGGCAAGTTTGTTTGTTTTTTGAAAATAAAAAGTTGGCCTCCAGTAATTCATTTTTATTAATTTTTAAGATTTTTTTGGATCCCACTAAAAAATTTTTACGAAAAATTATTTTTCTTTTAGAATGTGCTACAGCCGATATGGAGCTGATTTGACAAATTTTAAAGAATTAGTTGGAGAATTTGACCCAACACTTTTATTTATGCAATATGAAAGCAATCAGGCTCTCTGTTTACTCAAGCAAGTTTGCCTTTATTTTTAAATTTATTTTATAGAAAATTTTAAAGGTGTCGTCTTGATAAATTTACAAATCAACGGCCATCTTTAAACAATCCAAAAAAATTATTTGAAGAATTTAAGAAGCGTGGACCTTTTCATTATTTACAATTTTGTTATTGGAAGGTTTGAAAATATCTGTAATTTTTTCCTCAAAAATATTTTAGTTAGGAGATTTAAAACAAGCTGTCAAGTCAGCCTTTACTTTTTTAGTGGCCAATCCTGGTGATGAAGATACTTTGAATAATTTACATTTTTATATGGAACAGCCTGGATTTGAGCGGGAAATGCTCATTGATGAGTGGCAATATCGTCATGAGGTATAGCTTTACTAAAATCATACATATAGCTTTACTAAATCTCTTCTACCTGATCCCTTCAAAACACCCGAGATAACTGGGGAGGTTGGGATTAGATTTTTTGTAGTGTATTAGACATGAGATATATGGGAGAGGGTGGAAAATAATGTTTATGATATTTTGGAGATTACTTGGGAAGGATAAGATTTACCTGGAAAAGGGAGCTTGTGAGGGAAATAAAAGTTATACCATCGTGTAGAGCATCGTCGAAAACCTTTATGGTTTCCGGCTTTTTCGGCTCCGACCCCCATTTCGAAAAGTTATAGGTCTTCAAAGTTTTCGACTTTTGGAGCGGTTGAGTCGCCCTCACTTTTCTTATTATTTGTCTTACCAAAGAGAAAAATGAGACTCCTTTTCTCCATTTTTCCTTTCTTCTTCTTTTCCCATGTCGGTTAAAGAAAGAGAAAAAGAGGAGAGGAAAGAAAAGGAAAAGAGGCATGTCTGCCATTTCCTCTTTCCTTTTTAATTGACATTAGCTGCAAGGCAGAGGTGCCTCTTTAGTTTTTCTTTTCTCTCCTCCTTTTCTCTTTCTTTAACTAATATTGAAAAAGAAAAGGAAAGGAAAAAAGGAGGATGGGAGTCTTATTTTTCTCCTAATAAAAGAAAACTCTCTCTTTATGAGGGCGACTCAACCGCTCCAAAAGTCGAAAACTTTGAAGACCTATAACTTTTCGAAATGGGGGTCGGAGCCGAAAAAGCCGGAAACCATAAAGGTTTTCGACGATGCTCTACACGATGGTATAACTTTTATTTCGAACTTTTTACTCACAGTTCGAAATGTTCCCTTGTAAGACAGAAATAAAAATAAATTTTGCAGAAACTTTATATGAAGGCCGTAAATGCTTATAGCAATCAAGAATGGCTAAATTGTGTTAATTTATTCCAAGAATCTTTACAACAATTTTGGGAAGCTTTGGAAGATTGTAGATCAGAATGTGAATATTTAAACAACATCAAGGAAATTAATGGTGGAGATGAGCAGAATGAGTGGAGTGTTTTTATTACTAGTAAGCCTAATTATTATTTTTACTATTATTTGTAAAACATGTTTTGCAACATTCTTTTTGCAAAACCTACGAACAAAATTATTTTTAAAAATAAAACTTGTTTTGCAACTTGTTTGTAAAACTTGTTTTTTACAACTTGTTTAGAATAAAGTTTGTTTTTTCCAAGTTTTACAATAAACAAGTTTTATTAAAACAAGTTTTATCAAACAAACATTTTCTTATTTAGAAACTTATCTCTCTGTTTTGCAATGCAAACAAAGCTGTGTTTCTCAACTAAGTTTTCTCAATGGTCGTTTTACAAAACATTTGTTGCTTTCACATTATGAACATTTACATCTTTGCCAATTTAATTGTAAAAACAAATTTTAAATAAAAAAAGTTTTTTAAATTTAAAGTAAAAAATGGAAGGGAAGCTTGTCAATCTGTGGAAAATGCTTTATTACTTCAACCTAAAAATATTGTTATGAGAAGAAATAAATTATTTTATTTAAATTATTTTAATGGAAATGTTGGAAATGATGTTTCTTTGTTTCAACCTAGCAAGGTTGGAAAAAATTTTTTAAAAAATTTTTGTTGAAATTTGTCAAAAAACTTTTAAAAAAATTTTTTTTTAATTTTTTAAATTTTTTTAAAGGAAATTAAAAATTTTGTAAGACGAGAGGAAATGGAACGTCAATTTTTACAATTTTTAGAAAAGGAAATGAATGAAGAATATGTTGGTTTGAATTTTAAAAAACTATTTGTTAAATTTAGAAAATTTAAAAGAAATATTTTTAACTAACAAGGGAACATGTCGTATTACGACCAAAAATTTTGCGTTGAAGCACACACCATTGCGTAGAGTATGGGGGTTCAACCGCTCCAAAAATACCCAACCTTTGAAGCCCTAAATTTTTTTAATTTTGGAGTAAAAGCCAAAAATTGACAATAAGTTATCGACCATCTCTAACATGTTGTGTGAGTGTGTGTCTCAACGCACAATTTTTGATCATAGTTCGATATGTTGATTAGGAAATTTTTTTCCTTTAATTTGAAAAAAAAATTTATTTTTCCCCAACAGTTACTTTCTTCTTCACCTATTGGAAAAATACAATTTCCACTCAATTCTGATGATAATTTAATTGATCAATTTAATTATTCCAAAATATTAGAAAATCAACTTATTTCACAATCAGAATGTTTATTTTTACGTTCTGCAGCAGATTTCTTCCCTCATCATTTCCCTCATTTTCAACGACTTTTAATTGATGAATTTTTGCTTAGAATTACTAAACTTTATGAAATTGAAGAAAAACCAATTTTTGAGGGAATTTATTGTGTTCCTAAAGGTTTTTTTAAATAAAAAAAATTTTTTTTGAAATTTTAAAAATATTTTTTAGGCTTATTTGGAAAAAGCAATTGTGAACGTCCAACAATTTCTCTATCAATAAATAATTTTAATTGTGGTCAAATGGGAGGAGGAGAATTTACTGGATGTGTAATTGTATTTTGTGAAGTGTAACAAAAAATATTTGGTAAAAAAAAAGTTTTTTAACATTTAAGCTTTTTAAATTATTTCATTCTTTATGATTAACTCCCACATATTATTAACAAGTTTTTTGTAACATTTAAAAGACTGACTTTAATTTTTAAAAGAAATGTTTTAATTACAAAATTTATTTATTTTTGCAAAACTCACAGTCTTTTGAAACTTTTTTAAAAATTTTTTAATTATTAAAATTTATTTCTGTAATTTTTTGAAGCATTGTGTTTTCACAATTTCAATTTTTGGGAACCTGTATCAAGGTCCATAGCCATTTCGCATTCTTGGGAGTGGTACTATTCGATTCAGCTCGCTGAGACGGAGCGAATGGTATGCATCAGGGATCGCATTTACATAAAAACAAAATTGAGACAAAATTCCCGATATACATATCGAAAAGCTTTCGATTAAATTGATTAAATTACCACCGATTAAATTACGGCTAAATTAAGTTTTAGTCATAAATTTACTAGAAAAATTTGGTTATACTTTATTTTTAATTACCTACTTTTTTATTTTTTTTCTGTTTACTTAATTGTTTAATTAATTTGTTTAAAAAATAAATTATCAGATAAAAATTATTTTCGTTCTAAAAATTAATTTTTTTAACAAAATTAATGTATTAAAAATAAATTTACAAAAATATATCCATCCAATAACCCCTCTATTTTCTCTCTTTTTATCTGATTTAATTTTTATTTTAATAATTATTAAATTTTTAATATTTAGTAAAATAAAAAATATTTCCGGCAAAAATAAATATATTTCAACAAGTTAACAGATTTTTTTTGCTTTAATTTCCCTTTTTTTTTTATTTTTTTCTACATTTTTCTGAAAAGTGAATGGCCTTTAAATATATCAAAAAATGAATCATTCATTTAATTTTTTAAATTTTTTAATTTTATATATAAATTTATTTTTAATATATAAAATCATCATTTAAAAAATTTTCTTCTCATTTTGTTTTTAATTTAAAAAAATTATTTTTCTTTTTTCAATTAAATTATCCAACTCCCTTTCCCTTTTCAATGTTTTCCAAAAAAATGTTATTTTATGTTTTTATTTTGGTTTATGCTTCAAGTTTTGGGTTGAGTAATGGAGAAAGTGAAGAAATTATAGCTAAAAATGGTTGAGAATAAATTTTTTATTTTTTCAAGTTTTTAAGTTTAGTTTCAAGCTTAGTCAAGTTTAATTAAGTTTATCTAAGTTCCTTCAAGTAAGTTCATGTTTATTTAAGCCTGTTTGTTCATTTAAGTTCTAGTTTCATAATTAAAATATACCAACATCAGAATTTCCCTCCCTTTTAGGCTCCTACTTCTGACTCAGAATTTTATGGTTTCTAGGTGTCTATTTTTCTTCATAAGCGCTCGGATGTCCTTGCATTACCCAAAAGTTCTGAGTAATCCAGAGTCATGCGAGTGCCAATGAAATAGATAAATTGACACCTAGAAACTTAAGATTTTGAACAAATATCCCCAATAGATCCAACTAACTCCACTAAAAATTTTAGAATCCTTGGTCTATTATTTCAAAAATTATGGCCAAAAAACTAGCAAAAATTGTCATAGTTATTAAAATAAATATTAAAATTAAGTGAATTTTAAGTACTTTAGTTAATCTTTACTTATATTCAATCGTACTTCTGAATAATTCCATTATATTTATTTTAGGACATCCAGGATTGCCTCGGTCACCTAAAAATGAAAAACCTTCCGAAAAAGAAAAGAAAGAACCTTCCGAAAAGTCGAAAAATTCTGAAACTTCTGAGGAACCAATCATCCAATTGCCAAATAATTATACAAACATTACTAATCCAAAAGTCAACGAATCCGATTATGGACCCAATGGAGATTTTAAAATTTATACCCCAATTCATGGCACTGGAGATGTTTCTGCTCTTCGTCAAATTTTGTTTAGAGAGGATCCACGTTTAAATGGAGGAAAAGTCCCCTTTGCCTTTCAATTTTGTCCGCCTGCTGAACCTAAAAACGAAACTGAAACTAAATGCAAAAATTCAACTGCTGGGTATTCTTTTAAATTTTATCAAGAAACAAGAAAATAAGCTTTCCGGAAAACACAATGTAGCGGAGAAAATATAAACGTATTCTTAATAATTTTCCGGATAATAGTCAGCCATATGAGAGAGAGAGAGAGAGAGTATACGAATTTGAGAGAGACAAAGCCGGACCATACAGTTTTATTTTAAGCTGTCCGGAAAACACAATGTAGCAGAGAAAATATAAACGTATTCTTAATAATTTTCCGGATAATAGACAGCCATATGAGTGAGAGAGTATACGAATTTGAGAGAGACAAAACCGGACCATACAGAATTATTTTAATAGAAATATTGAATAAAGTGTTAAATTAATAAAAATATTCGATAGTAGAGAAATTTTTTAATTAAGTTATTTGGTTTGTTATGTGGGCCAGCTTGATCCTGAACGTAAAGATGGAATTGCTGTTAAATATGCTGTAAAGAACAAGAACACCGATCCAATTTTTAAAGAATGTACCGATAAATCACTCAAATCTAAAAATGCTGCTAAAAAGGAAGGGGTGATTTGATAACCTACATAACCCTAAAATCTTTTACTATATAGAATGAACCGGACTACGATTATTGGAATTTTGCTGGACCTAAACATGGACTCTTGGTTAAATACTTGTCAGGCGGCAATTTTAGCTTTTCAGCCAGTTATCTAAAGGAAACGTAAGTGGACTTTTATCAAGGACTTTTCTAAATTGATGGAGCGATCCAGGAAATTAACCAATATAGACGTAACTAACGGGGTGGACCAGAAGGTTGAATTATTTGGTGTTTCCGGAACACTCTTGAAAAATTCCCTAGTGCCTTTTTTCCCTTTCTCCAGGTACACCTACAGTGTTGGAGAAGGCAATTGTTTGTTGATGCGTCTGTTTGAAAAGAACACGTTTCTGACTGGATTTTATGCAACCGGACCTAACGCTTCTGAAAACGGGATATATCCAAATGAAGGAAAATTATATAATCAAGAATTTGTTAAATTTGCTAATGGATTGTTAATTGAAGATACTAAGTTGGTTGGACCTTGGTTGTTGGGAGCGGATGTTTTCCTTCGTAATCAATCGAAATTCCAACTTTCAACATTAATTACTGGAGATGAAGAATGTGCCCCTAGCTTTTCTTATTTGTTGAGTAAATATGCAGGCATACATTCGAACGTTGTGCTTAACACGAATTTGTGAGTTTTTTGGGGATTGAAATAAAATTCTGTGTCATCTTTCTTTTATCTCAGGGAGGGATATAAGAGAGATTGAGGGATATCTGGGAAAGCGTGTCCGCACATCTTGCAAGCGTCGTAGACACAAACAAGCGTCTGATGCCGATAGGTTTAGGGTTTTAGAATTTGGCAAGATTTGGGGGTTCAGCCTTATTGGCAAGATTTGAGGAAGCCTTGGAAAAGTAAGGAGACACGAATTATCGTAGAAATAACAAATTTCTTAAATATTTTTTAAGAAAAAAACATGTCGGATCTTCACTAACTATGTATGGAGTCTCAACCTTCGATAGCTTCGAATTTCATCACAACCTGACATTAACAAAAAATGATACAAATTGCTTGGATAAATTGGAAAAAGGAAGTGAAACAAAGGATTGTAATGCTTCTTGTGATAAAATCAACTTCTCCAATGCGTAGGAAATATTTAAAATTAGAAATGAGGACCTCCTAGAAGATGAGGACCTATGAGGACCTCCTAGAAAATGAGGACCTCTTAGAAGATGAGGACCTCTTAGAAGATGGGGACCTCTCAGAAGATGAGGACCTCTTAGAAGATGGGGACCTCTCAGAAGATGAGGACCTCTTAGAAGATGGGGACCTCTCAGAAGATGAGGACCTCCTAGAAGATGAGGACCCTCCTCTCATCCTCATTCCTCTTAATAATTTTTATTTGATAGGTATATACTTAATTATGGAAATAATGACAAGGATTGTGCTTTTAAGTTATCCCACATAAACAACTGCAGTTGCTTGGAGGTGATGAATGGATGTACATTTATTTTAACAAATTTAAAGAAATATTGAATTTAAGCACTTAAAAGTTATGTCAAAGGCGAGAACGGATCTGTGGAAATTAAAATTGTGCGAGATAAACTCTCCCATGGCAATAATAATTTTACACTCTTACCAAAATGCGCTGCCAAAAATATTCCGAGAGATGAGTTTAAATCTGTACTAGCTTTTCCCTTATCTTTTTAATGCTTAATTTGCAGGTTATTGGCACCGATCAGCCATTTGTTTTTAAACTTTCCATCAAAAATCAGAATAGCACATGTCTTGGAACAGACCCATTCAACTTTGTGAGTGATTTTGCCATAAAAATTACTCATAAAAATTTATTCTTAATTTTTCATTTTAAGCGCGGAAGTTACAAAAAGCTTTTGACCAATTCATTTATGCCAGAAGACCTTTCAGATACTAAAGAATACCTTCATTTTGAGGAGAGCAACGACAACAAGGAAAAGAATGAATAAATGAGCCAAATCTTTTTTTTGTATTAATTATATTTTTTATATTTTTAACCGAAATAAATATTTAATCATTGATTGTGTATTTCTGCCAACTACAAAGGTACAAGAAACCTTAATCCCTAAATTTTACCATAAACTCATTTAAAACCCGCTCTATGGCGAAACATCCTTTTATTTTAGACACTTAAATATCTGCACTGAAACGTCCCTATAAAATTCAAATTATTTGATGTTCATTCGCTTCGAAAAATTAATCGATAAAGTTTACTGTAATTATAGAGTTTTTTTTGTTGTTGGTTACATTTCTCTTACCTTGATTGAATGAATAAATTCCGTTTAATGTTGTGTTATTTGTGTGTGTAAAAATTTGGTAATAGATGTTTGTATTGCGAAATAACCTTCGTTTTTCTATTTTGATAAAAGTTGATTAACACTTTCATTTCTAGATAATTTTTATTTTTACCGATAAACCTCGTTCATAAAAATGGGAAAAGAAAAGATCCATATCAACATTGTGGTTATTGGCCACGTCGATTCTGGGAAATCCACAACGACTGGGCACTTGATCTACAAATGTGGTGGTATCGATAAGAGAACGATTGAGAAGTTCGAGAAGGAAGCTCAGGAAATGGGAAAGGGATCGTTCAAATATGCTTGGGTATGTCAACTTTTGAGAATCTTTAACTCTTTAAAATTATAGGTGTTGGACAAGTTGAAGGCCGAGCGTGAACGTGGTATTACTATTGACATTGCTCTCTGGAAGTTCGAAACTGCCAAATACTACGTCACAATTATTGACGCTCCAGGACATCGTGACTTCATCAAGAACATGATTACTGGTTTCTTTTGAACTCCTTGAATGATTTAAATGCTCAATTTAGGTACATCCCAAGCTGATTGTGCTGTTTTGGTTGTTGCTTGTGGTACTGGAGAGTTCGAGGCTGGAATTTCCAAGAACGGTCAAACTCGCGAGCATGCTCTTCTCGCTCAGACTTTGGGAGTGAAGCAACTTATCGTTGCGTGTAATAAGGTTTCTTATCTCTTCTTTTGTCCTTATTAAATCGTCATTTAGATGGACACGACCGAGCCACCATTTTCGGAAGCTCGTTTTGAGGAGGTCAAGAATGAAGTCTCCAGCTTTATTAAGAAGATTGGTTACAACCCTGCAACCGTTGCTTTCGTTCCTATTTCTGGCTTTAATGGCGACAACATGTTGGAGCCGTCTGATAAGATGCCTTGGTTCAAAGGATGGGCTATTGAAAGGAAGGATGGAAATGCTAGCGGGAAGACTTTGTTGGAAGCCCTTGACGCTATCCTGCCTCCAAGTAGGCCTACTGACAAGCCACTCCGACTTCCACTTCAAGACGTTTACAAGATTGGAGGTTTGCTTTGGTTTTTCCTTTGAAGAGATTTTAACGAACTATTTTAGGTATTGGAACTGTGCCTGTTGGACGTGTTGAGACTGGAATTATTAAGCCTGGAATGGTCGTTACCTTTGCGCCTCAAGGAATTTCTACTGAAGTTAAGTCTGTTGAGATGCACCACGAGTCTCTTCCTGAAGCTGTTCCTGGAGACAATGTTGGATTCAACGTTAAGAACATTTCCGTCAAGGACATCCGACGTGGTTCAGTCACTTCTGACTCCAAGAGTGACCCGGCAAAGGAGACCAAGCAATTCACTGCTCAGGGTTAACTTTGGTTACAATTTTTTGTTTTAAACTCCCTTCTTTCAGTTATCATCATGAACCACCCTGGACAGATTGCTGCTGGTTATACACCTGTTCTTGACTGCCACACTGCCCATATTGCTTGCAAGTTCGCTGAGCTTAAGGAGAAGGTCGACCGTCGAACTGGCAAGAAGGTTGAAGACAATCCAAAGGCTTTGAAGACTGGAGATGCTGGTTTGCTTTTAACCTTATTTTCTTTGTAAAAATAATTTTAGGTATTGTCGACTTAATTCCAACCAAGCCAATGTGTGTTGAGGCTTTTACTGACTACGCTCCACTTGGACGCTTCGCCGTTCGTGACATGCGTCAGACTGTGGCTGTTGGTGTTATCAAGGCTGTCGAGAAGGTCGAAGCTGGTGGAAAGGTTACCAAATCTGCACAGAAGGCTGGTGCTGCTGCTGGAAAGAAGAAATAGCAGGCTTAAGATGTTAATTATTTAAAAAAAAGAAAATCCACACATCGTTATTGCAAATATATGTCTGTCATTTGATTTAAAAATGTTGTTTTTGGGATTCTTTTTTGTTGTTTGGTAATTATTATATTTGTTTAAAAAATTAAATTTCCTCATTGTTTTTTGGTTTCTATAAAAGTTTCCTTATATTTGTTGAATTTTATAGTTGTTCTGATTTTAGTTTTGTCGTCTTGTAATCCCCTAGAATGTTTTTAGGATATTTACAATCACGAAAACGTAGGAGAGAATTCCCCAATCCAATTGGATAGTTTGTTTTCTGTCGTCAAGCGTTGGCATTTCCTGGGAAGTCTCCAAACCGAAGATTTAGGATATCCTGCCTTTTCTTGGTTCCCACGAACATTGGAGGTTCTTGGGAAATCTCCAAATTGAACCGAGAATTTCAAATATCCAGCCTTTCTTCGATTTGGGATATTGGAACTAGCAGCCCTATTCCCTCATCTATCGCTTTTGTCGTAAAATTTCTCGTCCTTATTGAATGATCCCTAGGAAATGAGCTCATGACCTGTCTTCATTAATATTTTCTCGTGCAAAATTTGCCTTGACAAGAAAATTTTATTTTGTTTTATAGTAATTTTAATGATGGAAAATATTTCTGACAATGAGACTAGTAAAGAAAGTTTGGTTAAAAATTCACCTAAATTAGAATCTGAAAGAAGAAAACATGTAAAAGAGAATTATCAAAAACCAATAATTGAACCCTTACTAGATGAGGAAGAAGAAAAATATATAGCTGATTTAAATGGAATGGATATTATTGTTAAATTGCCTTTACATGCTCAACGAATATTTTCTATGGTTTTTTTTTGTTAATTAAGAGGAGAATTAAATTTTTTTTAATTTTAGGGGAATTTTGGAACTTTTGTTGGTCAAAGAATGAATTTTGCTAATTGGAAATGTTTTTCTTCTGATGAACAAGAATTGTGTGAAGCTGGGACAAGTAAAGAAAGTTTGGTTAAAAATTCAAGTTTTGATTCAAAACAAAAAGCAAAGGAGTGGATTGGTATATTTTTTTAAATTTTTTCAAGTTCAGGTTATTTAGGGAGATAAATTCCCGGAAGATTACCACTATCCTTTAGGTTATAGATTAATACTAGCCTTTGGTGCAATAATCTCGTAGGAACCGTGGAACCTCAAAAAGTTTTTTTCTAACCTCTAAGACCTCTAAAAGTTTGAAACATTTGGGAACCGTTTAATTTTTTGAATGGGAGCATCCTTGATTTGGAACTGATCTCTGATGTATCTTGGGGTCGATCCGAATAAAAATGAAAAAAGTATAGGAGAGAGGTGATCCTTTTTCGAATACTCACTTAAGTCTCGGGACCGAACAAATTTACCATTTGCTGTTAATTTTTCGCCTTTTGAGGTCCTATTATAAAAATGAATCTAATTTTCAGCGGCAAACAGGGAATAATAAGAGGGCAAGTGCGTATGTAGCTAGGGGGTCGATTTCAGGGGGGCTAAAATTGGGCTACGCCCTTGTAAGCGTACTCTATACACATCTCTCTAATCTCTTTTTTTATTTTTAACGAATTTAATAATTTTAAAAATTCCAAAAAAAAATTTTTTTTCAGATAAAAATACTGGAGGTGGTTTACTTCATTTAACACCTATTGAAGCTTTTTATTTGGTATAAAAAATTTTTTTAATTAATTTTTCAATTTTTAGTTAAACGAATTAAATGTAATTAAAATAAATGGAAATATTCCAAAAGAAAATGAACAAATTTTTGAATATTTTCGTTCAATTTTTGGCCCTTCTTTTGTTAGGAAATTTATTGTCTACAAATATTTTCGAAGGCTTGGTTGGATTGTAAGGGACGGATTGACTTTTGGTGTGGATTTTTGTAAGGGAATTTTTTTTAATTTATTAAAAAATTAGGAATTTTTAATATAGCTTGAACTCTCGCTAATACGTTTCCACAATCTTACGTCGATAGATTTGATTTAAAAAACCAATGGTCACACAAGGGTATGGCCAGGGGGGTCGATTTCAGGAGGGCCAGAAGCCTTCCTGGCACGCCCTTTTGGTCACATCTTCCTCAAGTCAATCCTTTCTTTTCTGTTTAGTCTCGAGGACGACATATCAACGAGATTCAACTCTAACTTCTTTAAAAAATTTGGTTGGCAAAAATTCTTTTAGGGCTGCCAACTTTAATCGTATTTTATCGCCAACTAAGTCTATTTAGAAAACTTTTTAACCGAATTTGCTTATTTCGACGAGGGGGTTACCAATTTTTGGGGTCTATTTAATTTCACTATCATTAGGACTTGTTTAGTACTCCTTCCCCAACTTTACCTTTTCCCTAAATTTAATTCTTTTAAAGTACTTTACAAAGATGGAATAGAACTTCACCATTCTTGTGCAGGAATTAAAATAGTTTCAATGTCAGATCCAATAATTACAGATATTTCAATTAGTGCTGTCCAAAGAGAATTAAATAATTGCAAAAAACAATTATTAATTGCTGCTATTGATTTTAAAATTTTGGAAGAAAATGTTAAATTGGCGGATATTGAAATGGCTAAAATTAAAGTAGGGGACTTTAATTAAATTGAAAAAAAATTAAATATGGGGATTATTTCTTGAGTGATTTTTAACTCTTTCTGCCTTCTCAAACATGCCCCTTTGAATTTTTATTAAAATTTAAAAGCCGATAATTTCAGAAAAATGAATGATTTTTTAAAATTCATTTTAAAACAAAATCGGATATCAAAATCGAATTGATCAAAGACCTAGGGTAGCCTGTTCACTTTTTACTGTTTGAACAATGCTCGGAAGGAATTTATGTATGAATTTTATCCTTTTAAAAAAGACCACTAAATTCTAACTTTAACACCTAATCCTATGGACCAAAATAGCTGAAATATAAGCAAGTAATGTTTGAAGACGATTCGGAGATCGAGCTCCCCTTCGGAAAAAATTGAATACCTCATACTGCCTTTTTGAAATCCTAAAATGTGTTTTGGCAAGTATAAGGAAAATTATTTTAAAAAAACTTTTGACCAACAACAAATTAAAAAAAAATAAAAATATTTTTAAAGGTTCTATTCCTAAATCATTGGAATTTACACAAAAATAGAGCAATGGATTTGGATTGAACCAAAAATTATTTTTTTAAATTTCTTATCTAGGTAAATTACATAATTTATTTTTAACTTTATTAACAATTTTTCTCCAAAAAATTTATTATTTTTTAATTTATTTTTTTTTCTAATTTTTGCATAATAAAATGACATGTGAGGATTGTAAATTAAAATAATTATTAAGGTAGCTGTCAATTTATTTTTCTAAAAATTTTTTTTGAAAAAAAAAATTTTTTTACAAAAATTTCTATTCTCTTTTTGGTTTATTTTTTGTTATTTTTTGATAGTCATTTTTATAACAATTAAATTTAATAATATTTTTGTTCACGTGAGATTATTTTTTATTTTCAATTTTTGGTTTTGATTATTTTAATAAAAATTAATGTGATTTTTATTGGACTAATAATTTAATTTTTAAATAAAATTTGAAAATTAAATTTTTTAATAAAAAATAATATTTTTGAATAACGAATCCCGATTCCCTAATTTTTTAAATAAATTTAGAATAAATTTAAGTTTTTATTTTTTAACGTTTAAAATGTGGAGGGGATATGTATTAGGTATTTACCTTTTAAACTACAATAATTTTTTAAGATTTTTTTATCTTTGTGTAGTAGACTGCACTAGGTGTAGTTTATGTTTTTTAAATGTAGTTGGCTACAGGTTGAAAGAGGGGATTTTAAGATGTCCAATTTTTGTTCCAATTGTTCCAAATATGTACAAATATAACAAAATTTGAATGTGTTTTATTTAAATTATTTATGAAATTATTTTGACCTGAAATTCCAAAATTTTTGAGGCAATCTTTATAAATTCGAGCCCCGACTTTAAGTATGTAGAAAAATTTAAATTCAGTTTTGGACTTGTCCTATTTTAATTTTTATATTTGCCAGACTTTAATATTTTTTTTATTTACCTTTTAGATCGTCCATACTGTAAATTTAATCTTTTGTTTACTCTCAAAAATTGTTTGTGTACTTTTTGAGTTGATTTTTTGATTTGTTTGTGTCTCCCCAATTTTATCAAATTAACATCAAAAAGGGGTCTTTTAAATTTTAAAATTAATTTAAAATTCAATTATCTATTAAATTTAAAATTCTAAAACGATTTTTAAATTTTCTTTGTAAAGTTAATACCCTCCCCCTCCCTCTCCCTGGGGTGGGCGAATTGCGTTATTTGCGTTAAATTTTGGCCTTGCGTTGCGTCTTGCGTTTTTGAGATTGTCTATTGCGCCCACCCCTGCCCCCCTCCCCTCCACCTTCTACTTAATACCTATTCTCCTCTTAATTACTAAAAAAATATTATAATTTTCTTTCCCCAATACTTAATACCTCCTTTTTATCATCCCCCAATAATACCTCCTTTTTATCAAAATTTTTTTCCTTATCAATTTTTGAATAAAAACCACCACCAACCACAATACTTATATTTAAATTGATTTATTTTAAAAGATTATTTATTTATTCAATTAATTAAATACCTCAATTTTGTTGTTCTCTTTAAACAATAAAATTTATTTTTTGTTTTTTTAATGAAACAAAATAAAGAACAACAAAAATCAACACCAAAAACAACACAAAAACCCCCTTCCTTAAAAAAAGAAAATAATCCAAAATTAATTAATAACCCTCCCAATTTCCCCAATTTTTTTTCCAATTTTTCCCCTTTTGTGTCACTAACTGCTCTCTCTGCAATTATTCTTTTAATTGTTCCAGGAGAATTGTTTTATAAAGAATTACCTCCAAGTGGGGCTGTGACGATTTTGAATGTTTTGAGGGATGAGGGGGAATTTAGTTGTGGAGGTGGACCTTTTTCTTATTATGCTGCGAGTCTTATAAGCCTTACTTGTGATCGACAATCTAGTAATCTTTTTAATTTTTAAAAATTCGCAAAAAGGGACATTTTGTCCCAATTGTGTTGGACGACCTTTAGGCTATTTTTGGCCCTAACTTTCTTTGTAGTTAACCTTTTGGAGTGATTTTTGTATCATTCGAAAGCTCTAAATGTGGGGATTATTTTAAGTAAAAGAACTGTTAAGGTCAGACTATTCATTAAAATGTTGTGAATGAAAGAGTTGGTATAATCGTTATTTTGTTAGTTATTTAAGTTTATATTTTATTTAAATAATTTTGGGCGAATGGTCCTTTTAGAATAAATAATTAGCAGCTTCTAAGCTTTAGAATGACACCAAAAATAATTAAAATGGATGGTCCTTAAGGGAAGTTGTGGGTCTTAAATAATGAGATGTTGCCCTCTAGTGTAGCGTCGTAACCGCAAATTTAGCCTGAGCTGGAACCGGCCTATCGGAACTGGAACTTCCGGAGCAACACTGTTGTCCTGTTTGAAATTTCTTTTATAACTCCGGAAAAAATATTTTTTAAATTTAAAAAAAAATTTTTTCCTCTAATTTTCTATTAGTTCATCTTTGTTGTGAAAAACACGACATTTGTTACGACCAATTACAATTAAACCAAACTTTTTGTGATGATATTTTTTGTTCCTGTTTAAATTCAATAAATTCAAGTATTTATTGTGAAAATGTAGCTCAACCAGGGTTGTGTTTGGCAACGAGAACGTGAGGGATTTTAATTAAATAAATCCTATAAGTAGATTTAGAAATGTGATTTTTTGAGATTTTGAAGCCTACGGGGGTCTGGGGGTTGAAAAAAAAGTTTCGAAAAAATTTTAAAAATTTCAAGGTAATAGTGTCGTTTCCCAGCCCCATTTTTTCCTCCCAATTTTCTATCCTATGTTTGTACGGAATGGTCAAATTTTCCCCTTTCTTTCATCAAATTTGCCTTTCCATATTTTGCCTAAAAACAATCAAAAAAGATTAATTTGTGATATTTAAAAAAGTATTAGAGTAATGAGAAGAATCATTTTCCCAATTAATAAAAATGGAAGAACTAAAGAATTTCAAACCTATTGATT